AACGATATTCACTGATGAATAAATGCATTAATGAATAAAAAACAAACTTGAGCTGCGTAAAAATATAACGTGGACTAGCACTGTCTTTTCCTCCTTGCAATCTCGTACCAAACTGACCAATTGGCAACAACAAATTGATATTGTTTGAACCGACATAATCTTGTGCCAAATTTACAATTGTCATCATCAGTGATGCCTTCAATGCTTTCATTTCTGTACTCAGTCCAACAATGAAATCGATTTCTATTCTTTTAATGTTTGATACAAAACAATAGTCTTCTATTGCATTCAATATTCGCGCTCATATCCGGATAAGAATATTTTATTATCATTTCTAGTTAAACCCTTACAACTGTTATAAGCATCATTATCATATCAGTCATTACATTTCAGTTGTTATTAAATATAGAAACACCACTGACAATACTTAACTATAACTTTTGTAAGTACAATTTTAAAAAAGAACGTGAATGGTAACAGTAACATGAATCGATCAACGAACTCACTTCACCGTGATGATACGCGGACATCTCACCGACAGCGCCGGCCAATTGAGCAACTTTTATCTCTTTTTTATCAGCTCGTTTGAAACATGTGAACATTACCTTAAATGAAACAAATAAACAATCACTTTTAGCGAGTGATCTAATAATAATTATAACCGTTGTGGCTGATAAAAATTATATCCATTCACTCATCAAAATACGGAAAACTTGAACGCGAATCCAAAAGATTTCCAAAGTACAACAAAAAATCAATCGCTCGTCAACAAAAATAACTCCCTTTGAATGACTGTCAAAAGTAATCAACGAATTTCATACAACAAAAAAGAATTCTCGCAGAAATTTGTTCTTCCTAAGCACAAACCTTTCGTTGCCCAGGTTTTAGTCCATCAACTAGACTCGGAATCGATCGCTCATTATCCAAATTCGAGAACAACACCAATTCTTTGTTGACGAAATCCTTGAATGATACCGATTGTGTATCCTTATCATACAAATACTCCTCGGTCAAGCCTTGCTCACGTCGATCTTTTCGTTCCTGAAACGAAAAGCCATCGAAACGAGACCCGTCACAATAACAAAAACAATTTAATAAATACAATCATAATTTCAATCAACCAAACAATAATGATAGCCACAGTAATAACGATGCAACAAAACGCACAGCCATCCAATTCGTTAGCCACACTTTTCGATCCTCAATTCGTTTCTTACTGAAAGCCATATCCAGAGATCTGTCATCCTCTTCACCGTCATATCTGAATTTGATGCGATGTCTCTTCATATCCGAGAAATATTCTTTTGCTTCCTTCGATGTCGAAGTACCCAAACCTGAATCCATTTATTCATTATTATTACTATCCGACAATATTAAACACCATTATTATCATCATCAATGGTATTATTTCTAGAGTTACCGCTCCACGATAAAATACATCATAAACGAAAATCAAACCGTTTCCCAGCACAACAAACCTTTGTAGTATTTGATACGGTATGTTTTCCAGTTCTCCGTATTATTTCGCCATTCAGCATATTCGGGCAGTGAAAAGAATGAATACTCCTCTTTGGACCTTCCTTCTTTACCTTTTGTCGCCTTAAGAGCAGTATATTTTGAATAATTTCTTCACGAAATTCAATCAAATCCAAATACAAATGATTTCAAAATAGCGATCACAAACAAACGTACAACGACAAGTCTAAATCGCAACTACAAACGGTTTCACATACGACAAAATAGTACAAAAATGAAAACACAATCAAACCTTAACGATGGGTGTTATGAATTCTTCAACAAAACTGCGTTTTATCAATGCTGGCCAGTTATAGTGGATGAAATTGATGACAAGACCTTTAATGTGAGAACCATCTTGATCCTATAATACCATTTTATCAACCACATAATAGATCACAATCGCAAAGCCGATAAATTTTGTGGCAGTTAGAATCCAAGAATACAGCACATAACATCGAATTCAAGCAGATAGGAAAACGCTTTAAAACACTCGCACTTTCTCACAACAATCTCCACAGTGAATGGAACTCAAAAATCTAGGACTGTTTCAAAAACATTCAAAATAATTCTTTCTGTTTCCAGAAAGACGATAAATATTCCAAACAGAATACTCTTAATGTTAACCGAAGTCAACCCTAATTATATTTATACAAAACGGAATAATATTTGAACATTTCGAACGAGCACAAACCTGATCAGCCATAACCATAATTTTTCCATAACGAAGTGTTTTCATTTCATCGTCTTTCTCGTATTTCAAACGATATTGTAAGCCGACTATTTTCAAGAGGGCATTCACTTCAGTATTCTCCGCGACCTAAAAATCTTGAGAATTTATTGATATTCAGACATAGAACTGAAGAACAACAACGATAATTACGGCAATAATAATAACAACTCTGATAATAACAATCATAACAATAATAGCGATAATGAAATTTGAAGCACCTGTTTATGATTCCCTTCTCTGACGTTCAACATCTTACCCTTCAGTGGGAAAACACCGTATTTGTCACGTCCAATAACACCTAAACCGGAAACAGCCAAACTCTTTGCTGAATCTCCCTCAGTTAGAATCAGCGTGCAGAGTGCCGAATTCTTTGTGCCTGCATCGTTTGCATCTTCCAGTTTTGGTAAACCCTTTAATTAGTTAATCAACGATTATTATCAGTACATTCTTATTGCAAACTTATTAACCGCCCGGTAATATTAACTTCAAGAAATACAATTATACATATAGAACTTAATACAGTGATCTATGCCGTGTAATATTTCAATATCAATCAAGAATGCTAAGATGAACAAAACTCATGAATATGTTAACCTTTAATCTACTCGTTCTTTTTGCAGAGCATTTTTTATCGAGTGACTCTTGTTGTTTGAATTTCACCCAAGCCATAACAGATTCAACGACACCACATTTGAGTACCGATTGCATAAATTTTTCAGTCAATTCACATTTTGAACCGAAACTCTTCGATTGCAATGTCATTGTCTCTTTTGTTTGCGAATCGAATGTTGGATTCTCGATTAGGGCATTCACGAAAATCCACATATGATTACGAATCTAAA